TTTCAAACTCGGGGCCTGATGTTACCGCCTTCTGATGTTATGACTGCCTTTTGGAACTACGGCCATTTTTTCGTTGCCCATTATTGGTTTTTTTGCCCTTTTGAACTTCGTTTGTGACACAAACGTACTTGCCCCTAAAATAAAAAACAGATTTTCAACTTTTCAACAGCACCAACGGGCTTAGCTCAGTGCGTACACCCACGACTACAGTTAAACTTATCCCGTGACTACAGTTCACTTTGGCCGGTTGGTCCAGCTTGGTCGCATTTGCAATTAATATCCTGCAGGCTACTACCTCCCCCTCCTCCCTCCTCCCTCCTCCCTCCTCCTCCTCCTCCTCCTCCAGAGTCATCCTTGTCATCCTACTCTTTATCTTCCTCCTTCATCAATACAGATTAGGAATAGATGCACTCAATACTTCGCTGTTTTTTTTTCCCCCCCTTTTGCTTTATTGGGTTGTTGGTACTTGTTACGGCTAAATTGCTAATGTCGTCACTCGTCTGAGTCGTCTCTGCTCAATGCTCATCTCGCTTCGTTGCATGTCTTCGGAGTTCAAATTTCATCCGAGCTTCCCCCTAGTAGGCAGAGGGGATGGTTTTCATTACCCAATAAATAAATAATTAAATAAATCATCCGAGAGGCTGGAAGGGTGATGCGCCTGTTGTTGTGAAAAATAAAAAATAAAAAATAAAATGGAAGGGTGATGCGCGGGCGAGGACCCGTCTGTCGAGAGCACTGTGTTCATGCGATGCCTCGCATGTGGACCTGATGTTGGGATCTAGTGTTTGTCTGAATCTCATCTTTTTGTTTGGGTTTTTTTTTTTTTTTTTTTTTTTTTTGTGTTGTTGTTGTGGTCCCGCAGTTGAGGTTTTATGCATCCAGTGAAGATGGCAGTGTGACCGTACAGATGGCGCAGGCTCAGTTTAACTACTCGTATGAGTATCAAGGCAACGCCCCTAAGCTGGTTTACACGCCCCTGACGGAGAAATGCTTTTTAACTCTCACGCAAGGCATGAGGTTGGGATATGGCGGCAATCCCTATGGACCGGCTGGGACGGGGAAGACGGAGTCAGTCAAGGCACTGGGTCAGCTTCTGGGCAGACAGGTATTAGATAATTATTAATATATACAGAAACAGAATGTTTGTTTTCCACGGCCTATTTTTGGGTCCCCTGGGAGCTTCGGCAGCAACTGAGCATCGCGCAGACAAACTTTGCCTGCTAAGATCTACACCCCCTCTAGTAGAAGTCGCTGGCTTAAAAAAAAAAGAAAAAAAAAGAGGTTGCATTTCTTGGTCGACCCCAGGTATGGTGTCTGCAAAAGACCCATGCACGAAGTTGTTGAATTTTCCAGAAAATTTAATCCATGTAGTGAATGATTGCAGAGCATTCGGCCGGAAACTTAAACCACCAGTACTTGGGCGATGCCTGAGCGTTAACGCTACGCTATTTCCGTGGCCGGCGGGCCGTCGATAAATAGAATCGACAGCCCGCGCTGCTTCGAGATTTGGGGCGGCGCGCAGTGCCCAAGTACTGGTGGTTTAAACTACAAGTACTTCCTATAAGTTTCTAAACTGTCTCCCATCAAAAAGCCGCAATTTAGCAAACGTACGAGCCACCACAAGAGCAGTGCCACCCAAATTCATGAGAGGAGAAACGTTTCTACTCAGTCTATGTTGGCCCGTGGCCTGTAGCTGGGTCAAAAGTACTGGTGGTTTGAAGGGAGGGGCAAGTATCTGATGTCGAACAGTGTTAGGAATAGGCAAAAAGAAAAGCACACTCCGGCAAAACAAACAGCCGCCGCTGAGCCGCGGACTCGCCGAGTCCATTGGACCATTATTAAAAAAAAAAAAAAGGGTAAAAAAGCCAATGAAAGTACGGGGGCAGTGAGGGAGGCACAGGTGCGATAACTACAGGGGTGAGCAACAAAAGGGCCATCGGATGCCGTTTCAAACTGGCAACATAAGGACAGTGCCATTTAGTCTTTATTTTCGCCTTTGCGCGCTCAAAACCTGCCGCATCCATACGCCATTGGACGCGCTATCACTCCGGTCCGGGAGATGGTGGCGGGTCAGACGACGGAGGTGGGAGAGATGGATAGTTGGGCTTTGTGATGGGACGCAGTAAGGCGGATTCCCCCTGAGGAGGCCGTGTGGCGACGGCCCGAACCGGTCGGGGTGCCTACCCACCGGCAATTTGCAATCAAGTTTACTCTGTACCTTGTTGTACTTGTGATACACTCAGCTCTGACTTTGTCTTTTTGGACTTCGTCTGTTTGCTTCGTCTCACACTTATCTCAGTCATAACCACTGCCGCATCCATACCTTCTTTCATAAAGTAGTTTCCCCAACCTGAAATCAGCGGAACCAAAGAACTGACGAGTCCGTCTTCAGCGGAACCTTTTGAAGATTGTATATTACAAAAAGAGTTTACGAAAGAAGTATTTCCTTCCTGTGATTTCTCGGATAGAGCCACTCTGCTGACGAGCCGGCGGCAGCCCTTGCCAAGGCCAAGGCAAGGCCAAGGAGGACTCCGAGTCGGAGAAGTTCAACGCCATGTGCTAATTTGGTAAAAAATGCAGTCCTTCTCCCGTAGTGACTATAAGAGTTTTAGTCAGCTGAGGATGTGGAGTTCCAGGCCCATGGGTTGGACCCACTGTGATACGAACCCTTAGACCGCCAGTACACGGCCCCACCCTTGCAGAAAAATGTGACTGCCAACTCCCACGTTTCGAGGATCGGGGCTAGAGTACATGATAGCTTCTTTAGTTTTGGAAGCTTTCATCATGTTTCATGATTGCTGTGTTTTGCATGCTAGATCTTCTACTTGTTTTAATCCCTATGTTTATTGTTATAGGGGTAAAATGGGGTTCTAGACACAGAAAAATATGAGCAGGATATCAGTTATCCTTAGTACATACTTTACTGCACCGCGTGGGCTACCAGACCACAATCATTATGGCTGGCGGTGCCAGCCAAGAAAGAAGAAATGTGCACCGCTGGCAGTTCGGAAAAGCTTGGTGCACAGTGCAGCGCCTCCAGGCCTGAGTGTACGCCAGGTGGTTAAAGAGCCCTGAACAACTCTTTGAGCCGTGATATTCATTAATTAAAAAAAAAGAAAAAAGGGGCGATGGCCTTGAGATATCATCATTGAATTGACCGGCCCCAGGCAATTTAGAATTTTTTTTTTTTTTTTTTTTTAATTTTTTTTTATAGAATGATTTTATTCTCTACATCTGAGGCATCTGGATTCGAACTTGAGTCTGTATTTCACCAGTTCAGGGATGTACCAACTGAGCTAGGCCAGCAGTTTTTTTTGGTTTTGTTTTTTTTTTAATGAAAAAAACACGTCCCGCCGGTGTTAGAGCTAGGCCAGCCTTGATATTCTAAGAAAGGGATTTCTTAAGCACCAGTACCTTTCCCATATGTCGGCCGCACTGCGCGCCGGCCCGAAAATCAAGAGTGGCCGCCAATTCTATTCATCGGTGACAGCCCTTCCGCTTCAGGCCGGCGCACGCCTCTGAAAAAATAGCTGGGAAAGGTACTGGTGGCTTAAAGTTTTTTTTTTTGTTTTTTTTTTTTTTTTTTTTTTTTTTTTTTTTTTTTTTTTTTTTTTTTTTTTTTTGAACTTCGTATACGGGATACCTACTTAACGAGGTGATAAGAGCATCCCCGGTAAGTAGGCCCCGTCCAAGGCTCCATCTATTGGTGGGGAGCTACACCTGCTGGAAATCGGGTCCAGCGTCCATGTACAGTGATGAAAATGTATGTGCTGGAAATCAGGTCCAGCGTCCATGTGCAATAGTGTGAATATGTGTGCGGGGAAACGGGTCCAGCATCCCTATCCATCTAGTCTATAGAGTCTCCAAAACAAACTGAGGCATCGATCCAATCAAACGAAACCCTAACCATGATGTGATGTGAATTACAATGAAGTGATTTGAATCTGCTGGAAATCGGGTCCAGCGTCCCTCTATCGTGTTGTGTAACTATGTCCAACAGTCAGAAACTTATCTATATATGTCCTTGTTCAGAGTCTAATCACGAAACCCTAAGCACGATATGATCTTTTATCAATCAAGCCTAAAATTAAAGCTCTGTCAAGGATGAGAGATGTATGATCTGGACGTCAAGTCCAATATCCAATATGCATTATCGTGTGAAACTGTCAGGGGGCATCGATTACTTCCCTGTGCAGGGAAGGAATGACCTCCTGCTACCTAATGCCTAAACAGCCCACCGCCAACCAACAAGACGACCAGCCCCCCGTTGATGATTGGTATTGTAGGCCGGGCAACATCAATCACCCCCAGCTATCCTACTCCTATCCTCTGCCAAACCACAAGGAAGAACTCCGTTTCGAGATTGGAGGGAGGGAAAGCAGTAAACCGCTTCTCTATATCAACCCCATGTCCCACCACGTCCGCTTGCAGCATCGCACCCACCACGCTGATGATAATCTCAGATGCCCGTATGCCGCCTCGGCGCTTCCTACCCCGCTGCTCCCTTGGTCGTCGCCACTGCCGTCGTCGTCGTCAACGTTGTTATTGTTGTTGTTGTTGCTGTTGTTGTTGTTGTTATCGTTGGTTTTGTCGTCACTATCATTGAGAGGGGGGGAGATAGCAAACCCCTTTTCCGTACCAACCCCAATCTCCCCTTCGTCCACTTGCGGCATCTCCCCCATCATGTCGATGATGATCGCATCTCCATGGGCACCGCTGTCAACCCCGCTGCTTCCGAAGTCGTCACTGCCATCGCCATCGTCGTTGCTGTTGATATTATCGTTGTTATTTTTGTTGTTGATGTTGTTGTTGTTGTTGTTGTTGTTGTTGTTGTTGGTGTTTTCGCCGCTGTTGTATTTGTTTGTGTACCGCCACTGTTAGCATTGTTGCTGTTGTTGTTGTCGCACCCATTTATTGATGTTGTTGGTGGTCTTGATGTTAATGCTGTTACCTCTCTTGCCACGTGCGCCGTCCTCACGATCAATAATGCCCTCCAAGCGGTCTTCCAGAAGAGCATATAGATCGCGACCCTCATTGAAGAGGGTTTTGCAGACAGACATGATGCTATCTTCCCTCCTCCAATCGATGCAGACGTCAAGCCAAGGATCCGGCCCCTCCTCCAGCTCCCGGATGATCTCCAGCATGTCCTCACTGTTCTCCTTCAGCCAACCAGCCAGAGAAATCGCTCCCCCTTCGACCTCTGGCTCCATTTGCAGCCGTAAAGACATGTCCGTCACAATCTCCTGTAGCCATCTGTGTCCGTTCTCCAAGGTAATAAGCCATTCGTTTGCTCCAATATGTAGCTCCCTATCCAAAATCTCCTCCATGGTAGTCATGGCTCGCTCAAAGGACTGCGCCGCTTTTGTGCAGTAACCTCCAATCAATCACAGCTGGTGCTTCCCCTGATCACGCGTCGCAAGGCCTCCATGTCACCAAACGACAGGTGCCACATGGCAAGCTGAAAGCCACGGCCACATGTCGGGCGCTTGAACAGGCCCAGCAGCCTGGAGGGACTCACCTCTCCAGCACGCTGGTCAAGCCGGGTGCGGCCGGACCTCGCCGGTCGGCCAGTGTTAGGGCGCTAGCGTCAGCGTGGTTCCACTGGTGGTTTAAAGTAAGTTCAGAATCTGGTGAATATTAAGAAATTATTTGGATCTCTTCTACACACAGGTTTCCTTATTTATCTGCGATGGGCCGATGGCGAGTTTGATACACATATCACAAAATTGGAAGATGCATTGGGCTTTACTTTCACAGAGAACTCATTTCCCACAATTTTCCAGAATATTATTGCACCTCGTGGCTTGTGCCACCATCACCCCTTCGGCCTATCTCTGCAGTGCTCAAGTGATGAGTTTTCTTAAACAACTTTCTTTTCTGCTAACAGTGGAGCTCAGTAAGAATTCGCTTTGCATTTTTCTACACGAAGCAGGTTTTGGTATTTAACTGCGATGGCGAATTTGACTTCCGGAGTATGGGCCGCATCTTTACGGGTCTAATCAAGTGCGGTGCATGGGGATGCTTTGATGAGTTTAATCGACTTGAAGAGGACGTGCTGTCTGCTGTTTCACAGCAGATACAGGTCATACAGGTAATTGTCAGATTCCACACTTCTTTTTTTTTTTTTTTTTTACAAGACTCCACACATTTGGGTTCAAAGCAAATTAAGGAAAGCATTCACAAAAAAAGAAAAGAAGAAAACTCTGAAGGAAAAAAAAAAAGGAGGATTTAATTTAGTGCCTCTATAGGATTGCTTTTGCCCTCCAAACTGCCATTTCGTCAAAACAGACATTTTATATTTTTAGAACGAAATTGAAACTGAGTAATTTGGCCAAAAACAGGTCCAAATATTTGGCTCCTGAGGAACCACCAGTACTTGGCCCAGCTATCGGCTGTGGCGCTTCCGCATTAACGGGCTTCGGGGTACCGGACCACAATGGCTGGAAGCGCCAGCCAAAAAAAAATCAGAACGGTATCCCGGCGCTTCAGAAAAATTGGCGCGCAGGGGCATTACAGGCTCGGCGTAGATAGCTGGGCCGAGTACTGTGGTTTAAAACGCCAGACCCCCTGGATGTATATGTATGTAGCTCAAGACCAGATACATCCAGGGGGTCCCGCGTTTTAAGAACGCCGGACGCTCAGGAGCCACAACATTGGACCTGTTTTTGACGAAAATACCTAGGCTACCAGCCGGGCCGCCCGGGTCACCCTATTTTCCCAGGCGGCCCGTCGTCCCAGCCAAAAAAAAACGAAAAAAAACTATGTTATGCAAAAAAATAAACTGAACAAATTTTGCCTCGGGTCACATCGAACTTATTTACCGAATTTAATTTTTTTTAATCTTTTTGGCCCGGTTGGGCTAGTGGACCCGGGCCACTGTGGTAGCCTAGGAAAATACTCAATTTCAATTTCGCTCAAAAAATATAAAATGTCTGTTTTGACGAAATGGCAGTTTCACGAGCTCTGGGTTGACCAGGATTTTAAATTGTTTGATGTTGATGACTCAGAAGAGTGTGTATAGGCTGTGCTATTTTTGAATTTCTATCAGCCTGCTCGTCGCATTCAGGAGGATCATCTACTTCGTCATTCTTACCTTCTGTTTTCTGTCTTCTTTTCTGTCTAACTGACATTTCGTTAAAACTGACATTTTTTTCTAAATTCACGAAAGTGGACGTAGTCAAAATTTCATTGCTCATCGGGTGAGAAAGTGGTTATCTCACTTTGTCCATCTGATGTACCTCAACGTAAAGTACCGTTAATATACATCCGATGGTCAGATCATCAGGAGTCGCCACGACAACCGATGATCTGATCATCCGACGTCATGGGGACGGAAAAACAAAAAAAAAATTGTTTTTTTATACGCTCAATTTTGTGAATTTAGAAAAAAATGTCAATTTTAACGAAATGTCAGTTATCTTCTTTCTTCTTTCTGCCTTTCTTCCTTTCTTCCTTTCTTCTTTCTTCTTTCTTCTTTCTTCTTTCGTCTTTCTTTAGGTCATTTCTGGTGAGTGGAGTGGGTGCCCTTGCAGGTTTTGTTCCTCATTTATAATGATTGTGTTGGCCCGTATGAGCGATTTATTGATGGGACACTGGGCCCATTTCACGGTTGGCTAGTTTTTACTCTTTTTTTTTTTTTCTTTTTTTTCTTTTTTTTTTGTGATCACGGTGATAAGCAACCGGTTGGGCAGTTTCAGCTACATGTGTACTATACAGGGATCCTGGACCCGGTTTCCCAGCAGGTGCAACTCCCCACCATAGATGGAGCCTTCAACATTGGCGGCCGCGCAACGGGGCTGCTCTTACCACCTCGTTGAGCGGGTTCCCCGCAGCCTGAAGTTAAAAAAAAAAAAAAAAAAACCAACAACAACAACAACGAGTGACGTATATTGAATGTCAAAGAAATAAGGTATTGTGTGTGGTGTGTGGGAGAGTGCTGGCCTTAGACACTAATGCTATTCGATTGGGGGTAGGGGACGATGAAAAGGGAGGACCTGGTGCAACTACTGACAAAATGCTTGGTCTTTGCGTTAGCCAGACCCCCACCGGTGGCTCCACCCCATCTTGGACTACCCCTTTCGGGGCCGGGGCCAACATGCAATCCCTTCATTGTGAGGTAGCTATGCTTGCAAGGGTCCCCTATATGTGGCCCTAGGAGTAGTGGTAGGTAGGTAGTGAAAGGCAAAAAAAGAATTTGAGAGAAGAATATAGTGCAGTTAAAAAAAAAAAAAAAAAAAAAAAAAAAACAAGTGCAACGCCAGGGGGTGCGGGACAT